TTCAGTTATAAAAATGAAATCTTGCCATTTTCATCAATAGAGATGGATCCAGAGAGTCGTATAATTAGTGAAAAAGTCAGATGGAGAAGCAAATGACATAGAATTTCAACTTACGTTAGAAAATAAAGGGGGAAATGAACAAATAGAATGAAACAAAGACAAACTCTTGTATTATGAGAACAAGTGATATTCCCAATGTAGAATGCAGATGCAAGTGGGGAAAGTAAAAAGGCAATTATAAGTGGTAGATGGAAACTAGACCAGTGGGAAACATCATGTGGAAACAGAGAATTATAATGCTGTACACCTGAAACATATACAATATTATATGTTGATGCTCAATAAAATGTCTTTAATATATGTAAAACTTTAAAGCAATCTCTTCTCATGAGAAGGTTTGTAGTAGAGATGAGATTGAACAGAATAAAAATATTTAGCAGACATAACGACAAAACTAGGTAGGTGATTGTGTTTCTGTTCCCTTATTGATTCAGCATCTAAAATTTTAAAAATTCTTATTCTCTCTTAGATGCAATTATTTAAAAATCTGAAAACTTCCCCCAGTCTTCCCTTTTTTCTTACATCAATCCAACCTGGTCTTAACATGTAAAGATGCTAGTTCCTGATAACCAGTTGGAGGCTTAAATTCACTTAATCACTTAACTTCCCGTTAGTTGTCGATTTGCTCAAGCGGGCGCCAGTAACATCTCCATTTGTCCCTGTCACGTGCTAGTGTAGCCCAATGGCATCTGTTCGCTCTGGGAACATAAAGAGCCTCAAACCGATCGTTCATGATCTTCACAAAGAAGTCTGACCATCTGGTAGGTGGGTGGCCACTCGGTCTTTTGACATCCCATGGAATCCAGTCAGTAACAGCTCTAGTCCAGCGGTCCTCTTTAAATCTCATTACGTGACCAGCCCATCTGATTTTTGACACCTTGGCAAATGAGACAGCGTCCCTGATTCTTGATCATCGACGGATGTCGGAACTCCGGATTTTTTCTCTCATTTGAGTGGAACATGATATTCCAAACATAGCTCTTTCTATTCTTCCTTGGGAGACCTGAATAGCATTCTCATCCTGTTTGTGTAGGGCCCAGGTCTCTGAGGCATATGTTAATGCAGGAAGAACAGTGGAATCAAAGAGATGTGCCCAGAGCCGGAGGTTCTTCGTCCTCTTAGCTATTTCTTCGACGTTCTTGAAGGCGTTCCAAGCCGCTCTCTTCCTCCTGCACAGCTCGGGTGCCAGGTCATTTGTCATGTTGACTTCTTGACCTAGGTACACATAGCTGTTGCATTCGGAGATGGTCGTTCCGTTGAGAGCGAATGGGGCATCAGGAACGAGGCTGTTTCTCATAAACATTGTCTTCGTAAGATTCAGCTGTAGTCCTACCTTTCCACACTCACGGTCGAAGTCGGCCAGCATTTGTGCCGCTTGGCTGATGTTTGGTGTTATTAAAACAATGTCATCAGCAAAGCGGAGGTGGTGTAATTGCTGACCATCTATCTTCACTCCCATTCCTTCCCATTCCAGTTGTCGCATGATGTTCTCGAGGGTGGCACTGAAGAGTTTCGGTGAAATGGTATCACCCTGCCGAACCCCTCTCTTGACATCAACAATCACTTCTTTGTAGAATGGTGAGATCCTGGTAGTGAATCCGCAATACAGCTCATGGAGGATCTTGATGTATTGGGCTTGAATGCCCTGATTGGCTAGGGCTTCAATGACCGCTTCTGTCTCAACAGAATCACTAAATCTCAACTGTCTCAACAGAATCACACTAAATACCCATCTTCCGGAATTGTCGTACCATATTTGATAGGGTTCAAATATGGTAACACCTACAAGGGTGATTAGAGGTCTCCCCAAAAGCCTCTATCCCTCTCAGAAAGACTGGCAAGCTACCGAGAGTATTCCGCCCGCACGAAAGAGCCTGGCAAGCTATCCATTGTGTATTCGATATGCCAAAACCAGTAACTACAACTGGTCTCATTCACCTGACTCTGAAGGTTTCACCGGAGGCTTAAATTAGCCTAGAAAAAATGTTGGTCTCTGAATTACTAAATAGTGAACTCTTTCTTTAGTATATAAGTATGTATGTACTTAGGTCAATGTACTTACCATGAGTTCCCCAAAATTACATATTTTTGTCTTTTTTTTTAAAGAGTTTCCTGATAACGTGGAGAGTATCATGCTGAGTGAAATGAGTCAGAGAGAGAGAGAGAGATAGACATAGAATGATTGCACTCATTTGTGGGATATAAAAAACACATTATGAGAATAATTCCTAAGTTCAGTAGAAACTTTGAAAGTAAAACTGCTGCCATGACAAGCTGCAGCTAACATTAAGTCTCAGCTAGGCCTCACTTTCTGTTTCCCCAAAGCAGGACTTGCAGTTTCCGGTAAACTCCCAGTCGAGTAATTTGCCGAGATAAGGAATTGGGCAGCTAGGTCTGGCCAGTCATGGAGGATAATTGTACCCTCTTTAGAATCTGTTACTAACCATTGTCTAATTGCTGACCACTGTTATAACAGGGCTAATGCTAAAAATAGACATATATATGTGTGTGTGTGTGTGTATATATATATATATATATATATACATATATATTGCTTCTTAATTCTGAACCCCATATAAACTACTTGTGATTTGGAGTCAGGGTCCTTCTCAAGACTCCACTGCATTGGATGAGACTTGAACCCTAGCTCTAGCTAGCAATGGCTCGAGATAGTAATAAAGTTCTTTTGCTTTTGCATTATCATCTGTGGACTTGATCTCTCCGCAATTGGGTATCTGAAACTCGGGCACAATAAAACAAGGGTCAGGAGAACTGGTCAATGGTTAGAAGCTTGCCGCAAGTAGTGATGGTGGGGAGAGGGGAGTTAGGGGAGAGAGGGGGCAGAGAGAGAGAGAGAGAATGAGAAATGAAAGGGGGAGTCAGGTGGGAAGGAAACTGGGGACATTGATATAGGAAGTGTACACTGGTGGAGGAATGGGTTGGAATGTTGTATATCTGAAACCCAACCATGAACAACTTTGTAACTGTATCTCACAGTGATTCAATAAATTTTTTTTAAAGTTTTCTGAAAAGCTGGGACCCATTTGTCAATCTCTGCTTCCATTGCAGGAGTCTATACACTTAGAATCTATACCCCACCACGTCCCAGAAACCCTGTTAAATGGCTTTGTACCACTTGTCCATCATAAGTATTAGCAACAGTCATTGGGCTTTGGGTCAGGTGTCATGTAATCAGGTGACATATATATCTTAACTATGCCTTGAGCCCATAGCAGACTGAAAAGTACCTATTTTCCTGAATTGGAGCTGCTTCTCCTTAAAAGCCAGTCCTGAGTCAAGTGTCAAATCTTACTCTCTCCTGTTGAATTGATATGAATGATATAGAAGAACAGGTCTCTTGCACAAAAAGAAAGAAAGAAAGAAAGAAAGAAAGAAAGAAAGAAAGAAAGAAAGAAAGAAAGAAAGAGCAAAGAAAAAGACTAAAATGTCAAGGGGAAGGAATGATAAGAACAAAAAAAAGAAGAGAGGAAATGGAAGAATCCTTGTCTTGGGCAAAATCCTGATTAACTTATGACCCACCCACTCCAGGACTAGCCATTTCCTCTACAGTCAAGAACTATTTGCCAGCTGATGTTGAAGAGGCGGACAAAATGGGGAGAAGAAACAGAAGACTGCAAAGACATAATTGATAACCCATTGGTATGGTCATATAAATTCTACTACTGGCCTCAACTGATGGGGGTCCATACAAATATATGAACATCAGATTAACAACAAGTCAGGCTAAGTTGAGTTATGATAGACAGGGAAAGCAATCTGATATCAACTCCAGTGATTAGTATAAGAATTTTTTTATATGAGCAAAGTTGTCTTAGGCCACACACATGCCCTGGAGTTCTCTCTCTTTTCTCTAACTCTTTTTCCATTAACCTCTTCCTAGTTCTCTAGTTGAGTGTTTATCAAGCTTTAAATTAGGTGTTAATTACCTAGGAACCTTTCTAAATGCATATTCTGTTACCGCATTTGGGGATGGATCTGTAATAATGTATTTCTAAAAAGATCCTAGGTAATACCTAGGATTTTCCATAGAAAATTTTCCAGGTTGCCTTTAAAGACATAACAACTGCCTTTGTTAAAAATTCAGCAACATTATTGCCATTAGCTCTTTTTCTTACCATTGCGCAGTCAGATAAGAAAACTATAATCAATGGCGTCAGGTTTTAAAAATTAGAAAAAAATCTTATAATAAAATATTCTTATAAATTTATCATTTTAATTATAATATATGTTCTCTATTTGTATAGCGAAGTCTGATATGACATGCTTTTATTAGTAAGAGCTTTCTCTAAGCCACCCTTCTTAAGTCCTAGAGTACAGTGATTCATGTCCTTTGAAGGAAATGAATCTTTAAAAGATTTGAAACAATATCAAATAAATAATATTCACTATAGTCTTAAATTTTATTTTGCTTTATTGTGTTCTGATTCTTTTTGAATCATACACTGAGCCAGGAATATGTTTCAGTGATAGAGCGCTTACCTTGGATGTGTAAAGCCCTGTTTCTGATGCCCAGAACCAACAAACAAAACAAAAATATAAATAGATAAAATGGAATCCTGAACATGATATACATGACAAGTCCTAAGTACTCCTGAATGATATAAATTTCCTGAAAGAGAGCAATACTTCTTGACTTTAGTAAAGATAATAACATAAAAGGAGAATCTGTGGGGAAAAAAATCAGAAGGTAGAGATAATGACAAGATAATTAGTTTACATCTCTGTTCATTATTCACTGTGGAAGATGAAGACCATCCCAGGACTTCCAGGTGATTGTGTGGGGCTGGCTCTGCACTAAAGTACAATCTGTGGGAAAATTCCCCAACTGAAATTCTTCCTTCCTCTTCTTCCACCTCACAGCTGCTTTAATTGCATCACCAAAAGGGTTATGACTTACATCCTAGGTAATAGCCAGCTTTTCAATCTTGTACAGAGTTGGTGGGTTCACTGTCAATTTCTGAAAATTCTGTGTCAATAATTGGTTTCAGAAATTTCTCAACTTTGGTTAATCTTTGCTTCAGTTTCTGCTGCATTGATTCATACTCAGCCAAGATTCGCGCAAACCTTGTTTGCATAAGGTCTACTGACCCTTCCATTCGAGCAACTTTCTCTTCAATATCTTTAGGATCACTTCCAGAATTTGCAATATTTATATCCAGTAGACCATCTTTCATCAAGATTTGTTTCCCTTTCTCCTCTAACATGGCTTTGGCATCTGGATACTCAGTTAGTGCTTCCATGAGGTCATCTTTTGAAAGACAGAACAGATCTGAGTAGCCAATACTTTTAATATTGGCTGTTCTTCGATTACCTGCTTTGCTGCCTTTAATATTAAGGATGCTGATCTCGCCGAAATAGCTGCCATCACTTAATACCACAAACTGAGTAATCCCATCATCTGCCACTACAGCAAGTTTGCCTTCCTTGATAATGTACATTTCTCTTCCAATATCCCCTTTCTTACAAATGTAATCACCTGGACTATAGACTTGGGGTTGTAATTTCAAGACCAGTTCCACCAACAGACCAGCTTCACAGTCAGCAAAAATACGAACCTTTTTTAATGTGTCTAAGTGAACATTGATGGCAATCTCTGCTCTGAGTTTATCGGGTAGATACTTCAAGACTTCTTTCTCATCAACTGTTTTTTTGTTGGTCCACAAATAATCAAACCATTTAATAACTCTCTTTTCCATGTCTTTGCTTACATTTCGAAAATGCATATATTGCTTGATAGCATCAATTTTTGCTTGAAATTCTGCTCTTGCTGCATTCATGTTGGAAATCATGGAGCCTATGTTACCAACAATTGTAGCAAAAATTAACACTCCAATTAAAAAATCAATCACCACAAAGATATACTCAGAATCCCTCACAGGTGGTGGTGTTTCACCAATGGTGGTCAAAGTCAGTGTAGACCAGTAAAGACTGTATACATATTTTCTAGCTAAACGGCCAAATTCTGGATCATTAATATCAGGATAGACCCATGTATCATTGCCAAACCCAATTGCTTTCGAAATAGAGTAGTACACACATGCATTCCAGTGGATAATGATGACAATATACATGACAAGGTTAGAAATCCTGAAGATGTTTGGGTAGTTTGTCCTTGTTTCTGTTCTCTGGAAGAACTCAAACATACGAGAGATCCTTAATAATCTGTTTAATCTAATTTCTGGATAGTTCCATCCCAGCTTAAAATACAACAGATCAGTTGGTACCATTGAAAGAACATCAAATTTAAATTGGATGTCTGATTTATATTTTTCTAGGAGTTTAAGCTCTTCCTTCACCAGCAGTCCTTGTTCTAGATAACCTAAAATTAAAAAAAAAAAAAAGGTCAATTCAATATTTTTGCTTTCCAATGCTATTAGTTTTTCTAAAGTAACTCTCAATGAACTTGACCATGTTCAAAAACAAGAATTCATTCCTGGTCCCTGGAGCCATCTTGCCACACACAGCAGCAAAAAGTTCCTGAGGGCACCACAACACAGGAGAATTCTCCGGGCCCCATACCAAGCCAATTTCACCAAGATGCCCCTGATGAAGCAGGTGCAGTCTCCCCGCCTTCTCCAGATGGAAGCCTGGTGATCATGAGCTTCTACAAGCAAGGGTCCGGTATGTGGGTGTCAGAACTAATTTTCCAATCTGCATTAGAATAGCTCCCTACAGAGATGTCTCTGGAACTGAACCATTTATAATTTAGAATCTCAGAAGTGCGCAGCTGCTTATGCAACAGCACAACCTTTCATGATATGCAAAGTGAGCAATGGAAAATAACTGATCTAGCGTCTGCCCTCGGAAGGCACACTTGAATGTCATCACGGTCATCATGGTCCTCCCGTTGTTCATCGATTTGTTCGAATGGGCCCAGTAACGTCTCCATCGTGAGACTTGTTGTTACTGTGTTTTGGCATATCGAATACATCATGGGTAGCTTGCCAGGCTCTGCCGTGCAGGCAAGATACTCTCGGTAGCTTGACGGGCTCTCCGAGAGGGGTGGAGGAATCGAACTCGGGTCGGCCATATTGGCTGCATGCAAGGCAAACGCCCTACCGCTGTGCTATCGCTCCAGCCCACACTTGAATGATAGTGGGAAAATTTTAGCAAAATATAATGCCCAAAAGTAGAGAGAGAGTATCTGAGCAATTGTCTGTCATAGAGGCAGGGTAAAGACTGGGATGGAAGTGTGTGGTGTGTGTGTGTGTGTGTGTGTGTGTGTGTGTGTGTGTGTGTGTACGTGGGGGGGGATAAATTGGAAAGTTTGCACTGATGGAGGGATGAGTGATCGATCACTGTATAGCTGAATCTCATACATGAAAGCTTTGTAATTATATCTCACGGTGGCTCAATAAAAAGTTTTAAAAAAAAGAATTCAAGAATTCATTCCCAATAAACATGCATTTAGAAATTTAATAAGAACAATTATCATTCACCATATGTCTGTGAGAAATATCCTTTTGCAGAAGTAAAAAGAAAAACAACTTCTGAGGGCAGAGAGGTAGAACAATAAGTACGGCTTTTGCCTTGAACATGGCCAAGATGGGTTCTACCCAGCACCACATATGGTATCAGAGCCTGCCAAGAGTTATCCCTGAGCACAGTACCAGGAATAAGCCCTGAGTACTGCTGGGTGTGCAGCCCCTACACCTCAAAGAAGTAAAACAACTTCCTGGAAGAGGTTCTTGAACACCTATAATGCCACACCTATCTATTGCCTCTTCTCCACTCTTGCCTGACTCACCATTAAATTTGGGGGACCCACCCTGCTATCATTATTTTCCTATTTTACCCCCTTTAATGTTTCATGATCAAAACTTCCACCTCTTGTCCTCAGAACTTGTTAGGCATGTGGGATCTTCCCTTCTACACTACTACCCCTGGTCTTGTGTTCAACCAGAATTCCTGTGCTATGATGTGTTACTGGGCAAAGAATTTCCTACTATACTGGCTATCTGAAACAGTCAATAGGATAAAATAACAAAAGCATTACTTCTGATCACTGCTACACAGGGAATAACATTTTCACATGATTTTCTTTAGATGTTTTAATCAATTTAATCTCAACTACCCAGCCGCTGTCACACTCCAGGCCACTTTCCAGATCATGCTGCCACTTCGCAGCTGCGTGACACATCATAAGACACTTAATACCCATCTTCCAAGATTACCATACCATATTTGATGGGGTTCAAATATGGTTTGGACAATGGGAACACCTTTAAGAGCAATTAGGGGCTGCCCTAAAAGTCTCTATCCCTCTCGGAGAACCTGGTAAGCTACCGAGAGTACCCCGCCGCACAGCAGAGCCGGGCAAGCTATCCATGGAGTATTCGATATGCCAAAACCAGTAAATACAATGGGTCTCATTCTCCTAACCCTAAAAGAGCCACCAATATGGCAGAATTAAAAAGAATGAGGAAAGAGAGGGTGATAAAATCTCAAGGCCGAACTAGGCTGCCAAAACAAAGAAGGACAAAAATGACTGTCTGTACTTTCAATGCATGTATGGTGGCATTAGATGCATTCACTGAGGACCTGATGGTGTAAGCACGAAAGATCAAGTACAACAACATTGGTCTGACTGAGACAAGAAGGCATCAATCACATCACACTGTTTTAGACACTGGAAAAGAACTGTTTCTCGGAACATGCGATAAAAGAGGTGTGGGTGGTGTCGGCATCCTTGTCAACACTAACTTGGCCGTGAGCATTGATTGATTCGAATGCCTAACAACCCTAATCGGATGATTACACTTGAATAGATGTGGCTCACTGCTGGCACTTTCTATCTTCATCGTCTACACACCAACATCCATTTATGATGAAGAAAGTAATAAATTCTACATGGAGCTGGAGAAGTTCTACAAAAAGAAGACCACACCTTCTACAAGATCATTGTCAGTGATTTTAATATCAAGACAGGACAGAGAAGATCAGCCAAAGAACTGACTCAGGCCATCAGAACTCATGGCTAGAATGGAACAAACAGAGTGAGAGACTATCTGAGTCCATTATGTCAAACAAGACCATTCATGGTAACTCACAGTTCCAGAAAGCCGAATCTGAAAGTTGGACATGGGAGTCTCCTGGTGGATGGTTCCACAACAAAATTGACCACATCATATTCAGTCGATGGTTTTGTCTGACCAATGTCGCTGTTGTCCCAAAACTCCAAACCAGATCGGACCACTGTATCCTTTGTGCAAAATTCTACTTCATGGATTGGGGAGAAAGGGCTGAAAAGTTTAAGAAGAGAACTCCCAGAACAACCACCAACTGGGAGCTCTTTGGTACTATTGTGGCAACATGGGAAGATACCGTCGTTGACAACATTGACAAGGAATACGATTGACTGGTTCAGCACCTCCATGATTGTGCGAGGAACACTAAGAGAGAGATAGCCACAAAAAGACACCTGTCTTCAAAATCTCTTGAGCTCATTTGCCAACGTGGCTTGGTGCAAGCCTTAGGCAACCGCAAGCGAACATCCAAGCTCACAAAGCAGTGCAGGGAAGCGATGAAGGAAGACCTCAAAGAGAGAAGAGCTGCAGTGCTGGCAGATGTGGCAGAAGCCAGGAAAAGCATTTGCAATGCCTGCCTGTCCTTTGCCAACTACAAGACCAAGATGACTGCCCTTCAATGTCCTGATGGATCTATCACATCTTCCAGAATGGCAATGCAGAGGATTATCCATGACTTCTACTCGGATCTCTTTGATAGTCACATCCACCTGCCCACATACCAAATTCCGCAGCATGGATATGTCATTCCCAATGTTCTCCCTTCCAAAATCTGACATGCCATTTCATTGGTAAAGAAGTGAATAGAATCCAACCCAGACAAGGTCAGATCCGAACACCTGAAGAACCTGCCATCATTAGTCATCAATACACTGGCAAGGCTCTTCACACACTACCTGTCTGAATGCAAGGTTCCATCCCAATGGAAAACCAGCAGGACTGTACTACTGTACAAGGAGGGAGACATCCACGACCTTGGCAACTATCGCCCAATCTGCCTGTTGTCTGTCATCTACAAGCTGTTCACTTGAGTCATTCTAAATAGGATTGGCAGAACACTAGATGAAGGACAACCATGCAAACAAGCCGGGTTCTGAAAAGGATTCAGCATGATCAACCATATCCACACAATAACCAATCTCATTGAGGTTTCTCAGAAGTTCAAGATGCTGCTCTGTCTAACGTTCATTGATTTAAAGGCCTTTGATTCTGTTGAGACTGAAGTGGTCATCAAAGCCCTAGCCAAACAGGGCATTCAAACTCAATACATCAAGATCCTCTGTGAGCTGTATTATGAATTCACTACCAGAACCTCACCATTCTACAAGGAAGTGATCATCCATGTCAAAAGAGGGTTTTGGCAGGGTGATACAATTTCACTGAAACTCTTCAGTGCCACCCTCGAGAATGTCATGTGACAACTGGAATAGGAAGGAATGGGACTGAAGATAGACAGTTGGCAACTACACCACCTCCGTTTCACTGATGACATCATTCTAGTAACACCAAACATTAGCCAAACGGCACAAATGCTGGTCCACTTTGACCATGAGTGTGGAAAGGTCGGACTCCAGCTGAATCTCACCAAGACAATGTTTATGAGAAACGGTATCATTCCTGACGTTCCATTCACTCTCAACGGAACAAACATCTCCAAATGCAACAGTTATGTGTACCTAGGTCGAGAGGTCAACATGATGAATGATCTGGCACCTGAGTTGCACAAGAGGAAGAGAGCGGCTTGGAATGCCTTCAAGAGTGTTGAAGAAATAGCTAAGAGGATGAAGAACCTCCGGCTCTGGGCGCATCTCTTCGATTCCACTGTTCTTCCTGCATTAACATATGCCTCAGAGACTGGGCCCTACGAAAACAGGATGAGAACGCTATTTGGGTCTCCCAAAGAGGAATCAAAAGAGCTGTGCTTGGAGTATCACACTTCACTCAAGTGAGAGAAAGAATCCAGAGTTCCGACCTCAGTCAATGATCAAGAATCAGGGATGCTGTTCTTGTTTGCCAAGGCATTGGAAATCAGATGGGTTGGACACATAATGAGATTTGGAGATGACCTCTGGACTAGAGCCATTACCGACTGAATTCCAGGGGACGTCAAAAGATCACGTGGCTGCCCACCTGAGAGATGGTCAGACTTCTTCAACAAGACCCTGAATGATCAGTTTGAGGCTCTTCATGTTCCTGGAGTGAGTAGACACCATTGGGCTACACTGGCACGTGACAGGCATGAATAGAGGTTACTGGCAAATGCTTGAGCAAATCAATGAGTAATGGGATGTCAAGTGATCAAGTGATCAAGTGATTTAATTAATGCATTTATTCCATAATCGAATCATAACTGAAATTCATAACATTTTTCAAAGATAAGGAAAATATGCCACATCATTTTTTTCATTTCATTTCATCATCCTATTATTCGTCGATTGCCTCGAGCAGGCCCCAGTAATGTCTCTTTCATCCTAGCCCTGAGATTATATTCAAGGCTCTTTAGGAGAATGAGACCCATCATTGTTACTGGTATTTGGCATATTTGGTACGCCATGGGGAGTTTGCCAGACTCTGCCCTGTGGGCAGGCTACATTCGATAGCCTGCAAGTTTGTCCAAAGTAGGAATGAGACAATAAGATGTCATAAAAAAAAGTTCTGATAAGATGTCCAGCGGCCGCATCTACATTCACAAAACCAACACCAGTCTTAAGTACTACTACAAAGGTGTTCTTTGTGTTGTGGTGAAATAACTGCATAACAATTACCCAGATTTCCAATGAAGGGCTGAGAAGAGGCAAATAACTTTAGAAACAAATTGCCCAATGATCAGAGGCTTCAAATAAAATCTGTTAATATTGTACTGCCAAGTGAAAAAAAAATCACTATTTTTGCTCCTTTAAGCCTTCACTGCATACATCCTGGATCCATACAAGTCCAGAAAGGCTTCTGCACACCAAGCTCCATCAGTACCCTCAGTTCACAACCAGGAGCAGGCTTCGCATAGTGAGGGAGAGTAGGGACCCAGAACCAGAGCAGCACCATGTGTTCAAACCATTATTTCAACTACTGAATGCCCTAAACAGATCCAGAAATTTTAATACATAGACCAAATTGTTCTCACCTATTTCCCTTTTTATTATAAAATGTTGAAAGTAGTTTCAATCAAAGGAAAAACTATGCAGAGCTAGAGAGATGGCTCAAAGGGCAGAAGCACATGCTTAGCATGCAGGACACCTGGGTTTCGTGACCCAGCACTGCATTGTTCCTTGAGTTCCTCTAAGAGTGACCCCTGAGCCATAAACTGGAAGTAGACCCTGAGACACTGCTAGATGTGGCCCAAAACACTGGGAAAGGAAAAAATTGGAGAATAAAGGGAAGAAGAAAAGTAATCCATAGGGTTTATGGTGGAAACAAAAAGCAGTTTTGGAGAGTAGTTCACTTGTTCCTGCTCTGGGAAGCCATGTAGAGGGTGAGTGGCAAGAGAGTGCCTCAGCCATCAGCATCTGGTGCATTAGGGCAGCATTCAGTTGCATGCTTTGGGTAGATGGGCATACTGTCAGATTTCTGGAAACAATTCCACAGCTCTGGAATTCTGTTTTTCCCAACAAAGTCTACACAGTAGGTTCAGAAGTTTGGGGTAGCAAATATAAAAGGCAGTGCTTCTTTGGAACCACAAGTCTTAATCTCTATGAGCTGTAGGTATCTGAGGCTCCTGCTCCCTCTAGTTTCTGCATGAAACCACTAAGTCTGTAGTACATGAAACCTAATAACCTGCTGCCTATAGTCACTGCTATGTGATGGATCTTGAAAGATGTACTCTATGCACACTGGTTCTATTTGCATGTGAAAAGCAACACAAGAAACAATCTCATACCAGTTTAACCAGACAACTCTAAGTAGAAGGTTATCATACCCTGTCTTCTGGTCAGTAATGCCTCACTGAGGATCATAAAGTTGAGCTCTGGACATATGTATTTTCTTTTCTTTTCTTTTCTTTTCTTTTCTTTTCTTTTCTTTTCTTTTCTTTTCTTTTCTTTTTTTCTTTCTTTCTTTCTTTCTTTCTTTCTTTTTTCCTTCTCTCTTCCTTTCTCTTTCATTTTTCTTTCTTTTTTTTTGCTTTCTGGGTCACACTTGGAAATGCTCAAGGGCTACTCCTGTCTCTGCACCCAGGAATTACTCTTCTTAGTGCTCAGGGGATCATATAGGATGCCAGGGATCAAATCTGGATCAGACACATGCAAGGCGAATGCCCTACCTTGTGTATTATCATTCTGGGCCCCCTTACTGTTTTATATAACATGTCTATGAAAGCTCTTTTGAAGAAAATGACAATTTCCTCTAGACTTCATTAAACCTAGTCACTATTAGGTAGCAGTTTCCCTTTTCTACAGAATGGGTAGGATATTTTTACTTGCTCTGGTCTTCTGACTTGGTATAGACTCAATCAACAGGATATTATAAGAACGTCACCAATTAATTCTAAAAGGTTGTCTAGAAATATCCTTCTGAACCCTCTGGGGTGTTCGAAGCTGGTGAGTAAGTATATAGTACTCATACTTTCAACAGTGTCTCTTTCCTCTAAACAGACTTTTGTAACTATAGTTGAAAATCTTTCAAGTTAATAAATTTAAAATTATAGCAATAAAAGCATAAAATTAACAAAATGTCCAAAAGTGAGCACATTTACCTGTCCTTGTTCGTACAAACATATCAATAAGATAGACTATATCAGCACTATAATCAAAAAAGAGCCAGTATCCTAGGTAATCAGACTGAAGTTCATCGAAACATGATCTATAAAAGAAAAACTGTATTAATAAAATGAAATCATGAGATTTTAAGTAAAAGCCTAATGTGCAAATTTTTAATCACATTGAGAAATATAATACCCTAAGACCAGAAGCCATCCTTAGAATTCATTTATTTTTTAATTTTTATTTATTTTTTTTGCTTTTTGGGTCACACCCAGCGATGCACAGGGGTTACTCCTGGCTCTGCACTCAGGAGTTACTCCTGGTGGTGCTCAGGGGACCATATGGGATGCTGAGAATCGAACCCGGGTCGGCCGCATGCAAGGCAAACACCCTACCTGCTGTGCTATCTCTCCAGCCCCCAGAATTCATTTAATCAGACATGGCTTCCCTGGAATCTTTCAGTGTGTTTGAATTAGGTTCACTCACACTTCTGAATCTTAATATTATTTCCACTATACTAGTTGTCTGTGAAGACATCAAGTAAGATGATTCTAGGGATGTGCTAGGGATGTGATTGGGCAAGTGTAAGGACCTCAATTACATCCCTGGTTCCACACACACATACAATAATAATAAATTAAATGATAAGTTATAAACTATAGACTTAGGATGATTAATTATATGTCCAAATAAGTTCATCAACTGTAACAAATGGCCACTGGGAGTGTTTATTTTTAATAGGAGAGGCTATGCATATATGGGAAATATCTATATATTTCACTCAGTATAAAATAAAGTGATGCTTAAAATAAAATCACTTCTTTTTATTAAAGAAAGGTGTATAAGTGGTCTCAAACTGAAGTAAAAATAAATAATTGGGTAAAACAAAATGAGAATCGGGTTTATACTGCCAATCTGTGTTCAAAATGTTTTAGGAGATTGTACTCAGTCCTGGACAGCTGAGATATTTTACTATCTAAAATAGAGGGAATCATACATAGCTATATAGTACACATAGCTATAACTCTTGACCTTTTTCTACTCTTGGAGTTATATTTTTCTTATCAATCAAAGAAAATAAAAGTTTCTCTCACATACTATCTAAATTATTGAGTATTAATCGTATGAGAGTATCTCTCCATGTTTCTCAAGTCTGTATTGAGATTCAAGTATATCAGGAACCAATGTATCTATTCCTGATCTTAGTAAACCTTGGTGGCAGAGCCTGACAAGCTACTTGTGGTGTATTCTGTATGCCAAAAACAGTAACAACAAGACTCACTTCATGTTCCTGGAGCGAGCAGAGGCCATTGGGCTACACTAGCACGCAACAGGGACGAATGGAGATGTTACTGGTGCCTGCTCGAGCAAATCAATGAACAACAAGATGACAGTGCTACTGTGATACAGTAAACCATGCTGAGAATAATGCAATCTTAATTTAAAACTTTTGTGAAGAGCTGTAGAAACTAAGACTCACAAAAATATACAGTTACCTTGCAATAATCATTGTCCAGTTGTACATAACGGGCAAGGTGATGCAGAAAAGCCAGTTGTAATATGTGTTTCCTGATGGGTCAATAATTGTGACTTCTTTTTTCTCCCTAGCAACAATTACAAAAAGACAGGACATTTTTTTCACATATCACATATGATGATGAGACCCATCATTCACAACTAATAAAATAATAGTAAGCTGAAAGAATAGGATTAGATTGACATAAGAACTCTAGTCATAAAAAACTGGTATCTGAGGGATAGTAAATCTTATACAAAATCATCACTATCACTATCACTATCCTCCTGTTGTTCATCGATTTGCTTGAGCAGGCCCAGTAACATTGTGAAACTTCTTACTATGTTTGGCATATCAAATATGCCACTGGTATCTTGCCATGCAGGCGAGATACTCTCGGTAGCTTGCTGGGCTCTTCTAGAGGGGTGAAGGAATCAAAATCAGGTTGGCCATGTTGGCTGCATGCAAGGAAAATGCCCTACACGCTGTATTATTGCTACAGCCCATACTTTTGCAAAAATAAACGACTTTGAAAGCGTTGTTTTACTATGATACTATAGACGCTTCTATCTTTCCAGTCACTGTGAGAAAACAGTAATGTTGATAAAGTCAAACTCTGCACATTCCACAGACCACTTTGGAAGATTTTGCAATAAAGGGGAAGTGGAGAATGGTGGGTTTTCAACTCTCCTACCTAGTAACAAGACTATCAGGATCTACATGATGAGAAGGAACTCACAGTCTGTATCTATATCACAGTCATGTATCTGGAAAGAAGAAGACAACACAATCTACTAAAAACAAAAAGTGTTCTGAAGGATGTATAAAGGATTAAGAGAGGCAATAGAAGGCAAGGGTAATGGAGAAAGAAAATAAAAAGTCAAATATAATTTTTCCTGGTATCTTGCCTATCATGAGGGGTGGGCCATAATTGGTCCGGTGGTACTCAGAGCTCATTCCTGGCTCTGTGCTCAGGGATCACTCCTATTGGCACTCAAGATATCATAGATGGTACAAGAGATCAAACCAATGTCAGCTACAAGGCACATAACTTAACCTATTTACTATCTCTCCAGATACACACACATATACATACATACATATATATATATATACACACACACACACACACACACACACACACATATATATACAGGATGTGGGGATTGATGCACGCATCCTGACCACTGTACTATCTCTCCAGCCTAGTCTATATTTTAAAGGATTTTTTTCTTATTACAAACCAGCAATTTTCTAAGAACCAAAAATAATCAAACCATTGTCTGGTATAAAAAATTCTTTAAGTATTTAGAAAAATTTACCCTTTAATAAAAAATTACTAAAATAGTTTTGCAAATATCACTCAGCCATACCCTTGTCAAATCTAATTTTCAAATATTTGTTACAAAACGAACCACTGAAAATGGTTGGTGTATTGATAACATTTGTGTTGTTCCAAAATTAGCCTTGCCTTTTACAGTAAGACTTCTTTGAATTATTTGTCCCATCTAAAAGGTGTCATTCACCACAACACCCAAAAGGAGAGAGAGAACAAAAGGGAATGCCCTGCCACAGAGGCAGGGTGGGATGGGGGGATGGGTGTGGGAGGGATACTGGGATCCATGGTGGTGGAAAATGGACACTGGTGGAGGGATGGGTACTTGATCATTGTATAATCGAAACCCAAGCACAACAATTTGTAAATCTACAAGTGTACCTCATGGTGTTCCACTAATAAAAAAAATAAAATAAAGTAAAAGGTGGCATTCAGAAAGTTAATAAAATTATTCAACTTTTGTTTGTTTCTGGGAACTGAATTCTTTTGGAAACTAAATATCTCCCAGTAATAGTAGATCTTCACAAATACTTTTAGAAGATAGCCATACTAAAGAATATCCTAAACAAAAAATTATTAACATATATCAAATACATATGTCTATATATATGTTCACATGTATTTATTTATATATGTATGTATATAAATATATATATGAATATTTATTTGGGTTCAAACTTGCTTGTGTTCAGGGATTACTCCTGGCTGGACTCAGGGATCACTACTGTCAGGGCTGGGAGGATTTTATGGAGTGCCAGAAATCCAACCTAGTTTGGCTGCCTTGTTAGACAAGTGCCCTACCCACTGTACTATCTCCTGGCCCCAGAAACCATTGCTAATTTTAATGAAATGAAAAACATTTTGATGACAATTTGCTTGGTCTTTACACAGGGCTTCTTGACTACAAAATTTCAGAAAATTATTCCTCCAAACCTCTCACAATTCAATCTTAACTTCACTTCAGTAAAAATACTTACTCTTCTTTCTTATCTTTGTCTTTCTTCTCTTTCTTTTTCTCCTTTGTCTTTTTTCCTTTCTCCTTGTCCTTCGTTTCCTTCTTTTTCTTCTTGGTGTCCTTTTGATCATCTGACTTGCTGAAAGAGTGAAATATGTAGTAAATATAAAAATATGTAAAGGCCAGTCAGCTGCTAGGTGAGAACCACCATCCATGTGATCTTGAGCTCCTGGGGCTGGAGGCAGCACAGTGCTTGTGATCCTTTGGGAAGGCTCCCATAGTGGTCAAAACCCAAGGTGGGCTGCAGGTGAACTGCTTCCCTGTCGTCCTCTGCCTAGCTCCACAATGTCTTGGATCACACAATTCAAGAACCCTTTCATTCTGTATAAACTACCTTTTCCCTCTTAAAGGCCTCCGGGGGTGGGGGGTGGGGGAATTTATATATATATTATATGTGTACAAAAATATGAATTATTCATGCAAAAGTCTAACTTACCTTTTCTTTTCTTTTTTCTTTTTCTCTTTTGGTTCTCTAGGAAAGAAACAATATTTCTGTTACATACTCAAATTCTATTCTAAGTTTTATTTTTGTTTACTTTTCTCTCCACTGAGCAAGAATTTAGGAATTTAGTGACCTACTATTTTTCTCACAAACCAGAAATCTGGAGAGTTGTACCAAAAAACAAAAGAACAAAACAGAAATTCATATTTATCCAGATAATAAAACATTTTTAATTTCATAGTTAAGAAAATATGGGGGAAATGAAGAAAAGAGAGATGGATAATAGCTGCCTTATTGATGATCAATTTAAGGAGGGAAATTAAACAGCAGCTTCTGAGAGAGTACTTTCAGTGTACACAGAGAACAATTATATAAAAGTTAATCTTCTTTGAATAAAGATTTTAAGAATTTTAAGAAAATACTATCAGTTTTCTTTTAAAAGATAATCTAAGTGAATCAGTTTTATGAATGGACAAAAAGCTCTATGGTAACACCATGGAAACCTATTAGAATCATTCACTGGATTTGATACTACCTTTTCCTCTATGTAATTTTTTCCAGCATGGAGAATATATAATTAGAGACCTTCTTCTACATATGATATCTATATCATTAGAGAAATGAATTATGAATTCAGATAGAGCCAAGGTCATAATAGACCTTGGGAAAGTTGATTTTGATCTTGGGAAAGTTTAATTTTAGACTGAAATGAACAGGCATCTCACTACACACTAGTCTTACCAGAAAAGATTATTAATGGGATATGCATGAGTCTAAACCAAGCTTCAAAGTATGGATAAGATTTGAAGAAATTTAGCAGAAAGAGAGAGGGACAGACATAGAATAACTTCACTCATTTGTGGAATATAAGATAATATAATATGAGACTGACACCCAAGGACAGTAGACCAAAGGGCCAGGAATATTGCTCCATAGCTGGAAGCCTGCCTCATGAGCTGGGGACAGGCAGCTGGAACAGAGAAGGGATCACTAAGTCAATGATGATTGGAGGGATTGTTCATAATGGGAGATGTGTGCTGGAAGTAGATAAAGGACCAAACATGATAGCCTCTCAGCATCTATATTGCAAACCATAATGCCCCAAAGTAGAGAGAGAGGATGGGCGAAATTGTCTGCCATAGAGGCAGGAGAAGGATTGGGATGTGGGGGGGCAGGGGTGTGGCATACTGGGGACAATGGTGGTAGAAAATGTGCACTGGTGGAGGGATGGGTATTCGATCACTATATGACTGAAACTCAAACATGAAAGCTTTGTCACTGTATCTCATGGTGATTCAACAAATAAAAGAAAGAAAGAAATTGGCCTTGGGACCAGAGCAATAGTACTGTGGGTAGGGTGCTTGCCTTGCATGCAGCCAACCCAGATTCAATCCTTGGCATTCCATATGGTCCCCTGAACACTGCCAGGAGTGATTCCTGAGTACAGAGCCAGGAGTAACCCCTGGTCAATGTCAGGTGTGAAAAACAAAGAAATTGGCTATAATCATCAGAAGTAAATTGTAGTGTTACACAGTGGAGTGAGAGAAGTTCCACTATTATGTCTTTTTGGTATTCTCATAAAAATTTTAGTTATGAGAGGACAAATATGGCAGCTATGATCCAAGAATAGTATGGTGACCAAAGGTGTAAATCCTTCACGGATAAGGGCATGTATCAATCATTCCACAAAGTATGTTATCTAGATCTACATAAGGTGCAGGCTAAGGGTCACAGTACCCATTCAAGAGGAATATCAAATGTTTCCATGGATATTTTAACACCTGCTTTAGCACTCATGCACTATAGTTTATCTATTGTTCTTCCTTTTTAAAGCCTCTTCAGTGGAGGAAATAGGACTTGAGCTATTTCTAAATGGGATGAATACTTCGTATGAAGAAGGATCTCTGAGCAGTGCAAAGAGACATGCGGCACAGATGTGTAACTGCATGGGGGTGGGCATTCATTGCCCTCCTTCCATGATAGTTGGCTCATGTCAGCTCTTTTCCTCTCCCTTTGACTGGCCTTGCAGGGAGTCCATAATCACTTCACATCATTCAGTCACTATGCATGGATGCAACGACCCAATCCTGTTACCCAGCAACCCTGAAGAACTATCCTTGCTCCAGACTACATGACAACTCTATTCTTGGACATTCCACCTCTCCTTCTACCCAGTCCTGCACTCTTAACTCTCTTTTAGGTGTTGGTCCTGAGAGCCCTTCCAGTGAACCTCTGCAACATAAACCTCTATTCAGAATCCTGGGGAATTTCACTTACTATCCAGTGGTTTGAAATGTAAAGGATTCATAATGTTTCAATTTCAGAGGTAGGGTGGGAGTGGCAAACAGGCTTTCTACTGCCAGAGCAATAGTACAGCTAGTAGGGCATTTGCCTTGCACATATCTGACCCGGATTTGATCCATGGCATCCCATATGGTCCCCCAAGCACCACAAAGAGTAATTTCTGAGTGCAGAGCCAGGAGAATGCCCAGAGCATCATGAGCTGTGACCCAAAAGGAAAAAAGAAAGAAAAAAAACTGCATTGTGCACTATGGTCAAGGATTAATTAATTGACTAATACTATGTATTACTTTTAATATTAATATTATTTTTGATACCTTTTTTATTTGTTTTAGTCACAGCAGGCCCTTCTCAGGACTTACTCCTCACTCTGTGTTCAGGGATCACCCCAGGCACATGAGGCCAGACCTGTGTACTATTTCCCCAGTCCCTGTTTTTTAATACTTTTAATGTGGGTGGCTACATTACTCAAAAATGAATAAACAACTAACAAAACAATGGAATGTCATTGCTATTGTACTAGAGTTTGCCTAATAGCTGTGTGCTCTGTATGATATTCAGATATATTTTTACCTTTATAGTTTTTTAAAAAAAACAAACTTGTTTTCTATTATAAATATACTTACTGTTCTTTATTGCTGCTGTTGTTAATATTGAAAAGTGCAAGCACACCAGGCAGGTATTGACCCCTGAGAAATAAAAGAATAAAAGGAGTGAAATCATAAAAGTCACAGTCTGTATAATGTTCATGGCAAGCATCTAATCTTCAGGGACAAATCCATTTCATTTCACTCATTGCTAACAATTTTCTTGACCATTTTTGGATATAAAGTCTCCACGAAGGCTAAGCTGACGAATATTAGTGCATGAATGAAAGTAATGTGTAAATGCCTCTTTATCAACACACATCAAAAATTAGGATCCTAGTAGGCCCTGAGTGGGCCACTTTGGATGTCACTAACTCCAGTAAGAAACTAAAGAAGATAAGAAGAGACACAAGCACAAGTAAAAATAGTGATAGCACTTTCGGAAGTCAGTAGGAAGAGAAGTAGAAAAGAGAAAAGGAGGAAGAAAAAGCAATGAAAAAGTAAATGCATTCTATAATGGGAGCCCCTGATCCATACCAACTCCACACTCCTTCCACATGTTTGAAATTTCCGTGGTTGCTCTAATTCCTCCCCCAGATTTCTGTCTTTTTCTTGAGCCACTCACTCTAGTGCTCTACTCCCTGACTATAGGGTCAAATGGAATAAAACACTTAGAGAATGACAGCCAAGCCCACTCAATCCAATTGTTTAAGAACCGAGGAAGAAGGATCGGAGGGCAGGAGGAAACCAGAGAAAATGGATCACAGGTGTTTTAAGCGCCAGACAGACACAGATCTCAGAACTGATCAGCTTGTTTTTAAACCTGTAGTCCGATGACATGACTAACCAACAGGTGGAGCGTGATGAGAAAATATTAAGGAGTAGAGGTAACAAATTACTCCTGCAATCCTGTGCAATGAATGGATCGCAGGATTATTGCCAAGATCACTAGGTGAGGAGAAGAACTTTCTCTCATTTAAGTACTAATTTGAAGACATATTTGGGGGGATAAATCCTACACTCACCTCTGAAATTCCCCTCCATGTTCATATGTAGCATTTTGAAAGGAATCCCTTGCATAGGTTTCCTTCTCTGGTTCTTCAAACATAGAGGCACTGTCATCATCAGAAAAAGAGCTACAGTCCAACAAGAGACAGAGGTGAATTAGAGCATTGTTTTAAATCATTACGAAGTGAACACTCTCTCTTTGGGAAAATCACTGTTTCTTCTTCCATTTTAAGCTACCACACACAGCCATTTTTCGTTAGGGTGAAATGAGAACTGAATACGTAGAATTAGAGTTTCATACACATGATTAAGTAAAATTAATGAGATTATACCACTTTTAGGATCCTCTACATTTTTAATGCTTGATGTTTATTAATATTAGTATTTATCAAACATAAAATGTGATGTCTGTGTTTTATATCATATTATATAGCTGTATGAATTGACTTGTAATACAATTGTAATACAATGTAATTTTTAATACAATTTACTTCTACTAAAAGTAACTTCAGTCACTTTTATATACATTCTAATAATGTTTAAGATAAATATTTTATGCTTTTTAAAGTATTTACACTTCATCTATATAAGTGAAATATTTATCTCAGGAAATGTTATTTGTTTATATTGACTTTTTCATAAAGAAAGGTGATGCTAATTACTAAGAAAATTATTTGGCATAAATACTTTGAAGCAATTACTGTAATAACATCTACATTTATTTGTCAGACAAGTACATAGTTTGACTCCTAATAAGTTTACCAATTTATTTTAAATTAATAAATGTAGCACTGTCCTCTCATTGTTCACTGATTTGCTCAAGCAGGCACCAGTAACGTGTCCATTGTGAGACTTGTTGTTACTGTTTTTGGCATATTGAATATGCCACGGGGAGCTTGTTAGGCTCTGCTGTGTGGGTGGGATACTCTCGGAAGCTTGCTGGGCTCTCTGAGAGGGACAAAGGAATGAAACCCAGGTCAGCCACGTGCAAGGCAAATGCCCTACCTGCTGTGCTATCACTCCAGCCCATTTTTTGTTAGTGGAGAAAGAAAATCATTGAGTTTTAATAAATACATAAAAATATTTAAAATAAAAAGTACAAAGACCAGAGAGAAAGTAAAGTGATTAAAGCCTATGTCTTAATATGACCAGTCTGGTTTGATCCCTACACCATATGGTGGCTTGAATACATGTACAGTCCTGGAGGACCCTTAGCATCATGAGCACACTGGAGTGAGCAGGTGCCCTAGCCTAGACCTAAACCTGTTAATTATCAATTTAACAATTGCCCTAAATTTAACAATTGCCCTATACTTAACTTTCACTGTTAACATGAAGCATAACCAAACCTATAAACTAACAGAATCCTAACCATTACCATAAACCAAACAAACCTATACAAGGTTCATTACCCTAGGTTCTATCTAAACCTACCAATTAGTATAAATTTAACAATTACCTTATATGTAACTTTTTTTGTTTTTATTTTGGCCATTCTCAGTGTGGTTCATGAATTACTCCTGGCTCGGCATTCAGAAATCACTCCTGAGGGTGCATGGGCAACTATATGGGATGCTGGGGATCAAACCTGGATTGGCCACATGAAAGTCAAGCACCCTAACCTCTGTACTATCTCTCTAGCACCCCTACACATAACTTGTATTTTCAACTTTGAACATAACCATACTGAATCCTGACCCCAAACATGAAAAACTAATCCTAACCCAAATCCAAATCCTAACCCTAATCCTATATAAATGTCACTGTAGCCTAAGCTAAACCTAGAGATTAGCATAAATTTAACAATTGCCCTATACATCATTTTAGCTTTAATTTTAAATATAGAAAATCCTACACCTTAACTCTGATATGCACTCTAACCCAACTCCCAACAATAACCTTCTACTAATGTATCCTAGTCTAGGCCTAAAGCTACCAATTAACCTAAATTTAAACATTGCCATATATCTAATGTTCATTTTCAACTTTGAACATAAGAAAACCTATGTCTTAATTCTGAGACAAACCCTAATTTTAACTCTACTCCTAAAGCTTACCATAAAACAAAGTAACAAATACCAGCCCTAACCCTATACTAATTTTATGCTAATCTAGGTTAAACCCTAATACTTAGTCTAAATTTATTAATCACCCCATATCTAAATTTCATTTCCAGTCTTAGCTATAATGAAACCTAATTTCTAACCCTAACACAAACTCTAATATTAACCCTTACCTAACCCTAAACCAAATTCAAATACTATACTTATATTTACACTTATCCAAGTCACCTTAAACTTATTAATTAACCTAAATAGAACAATCACCCCATAACTAACTTTGACTTTCAATTATAAACATAACCAAGTCTATACTGTAACTCTAATGTGAACCCTAACCCAAACCCTAATCCTTACCCAAACATGAATCTTAACACTATACTAAGTTGACTTAGCTTTGGTCTAATACTACTGACTAATATTAATTGAACAATCACCCTATACCTAAATCCTTAACATGAAAATGAACATTAACCCTAGTCCTTTACCAATATTACCATAGCCTAGACCTAAATCAAACAATTTGCAAAACTTAACAATTGCTCTGTACATAACTTTTACTTAAAACTTTAAACAGCTAAACCTATACTGTAACTCTAACAAGAAAGGTTAGGACCCTAACCGTAACCCTTACCTAAACCCTATGCCAACGTTATTATAGCCTCTGACTAAATCTACCAACTAGCCTTAATTTGAAAATCCTATCCCTAACTTTAATTTCAGTAGAATTACCATGAGATACACAGCTACAAAGTTGTTCATGATTGGGTTTCAACACGTCATACAATGGGTTTCAATCCATCATACAATGTTTCAACACCCATCTATTCCTAACTTTTATGTTTGATTTTGGACATAACCAAACCAATCCCTAATCTTAACACAAACCCTAAATGTAGCCCTCAATTTTCTCCCTAATCTAAACAATTAGCCATTTTTTTTCTTTTTGGGTCACACCAAGCAATACAAAGGGGTTAGTCCTGACTCTGCACTCTGGATCACTCCTGGCAGTGCTCGGGGGACCATATGGGATGCTGGAATCGAATCCAAGCTGGCTGCATGCAAGGCAAATGGCCTACCCGCTGTGCTATCACTCCAGTCCTGACAAAAACTTTTTTAAGAGACAGAAGCATATTTTTATTTATGTGTCGTGTGGGCTCAACAACTATATAGCCGTTTACACTATATAACTGTTTCCACTATATGGTTTACACTATATAGCCGAGCCTAGAGTTTCATTCATACAGTCTCATTCATTCAACTGCAGAGCTCCACAGGCCCCTGGGGGCAGGAGCATTTGCTACAGGGGACTGGGGAGGGGGGAAAAGGCTGCTGGAAACTACCAGAGCTATGTCTTACACAAGAAAATAGATCTTGCAGGAAGGGTTGATGAGTATTTCAGTCCTGAGAGAGGGTGTTTGTATCAAAGCACATGGGGGAGATTATTATATTAGGTATATCCTGCTACAAAAAAAATATCCTCTGTCAGGTGGGATGTGTGTCCATCCTAGACCAGCCGACCCCAGTACGGATGACTGCCCCCTCAGAACTCCTTTATGCTCTGCCCTTGCTCCACAGAGCTGCAATTTGGAGCGGTTGGGGAAAGAGGGCCAGCATGTGTGTGGGAACCTCAATTAGCCAAAATTTAACAATAGTCCTATATCTAGCTGCACTTTCAATTTTAAACATAACCAAGCTATATCATAACACTATCACAAATCCTAACCCTGGAACTGGAGCGATAGTACAGCGGGTAGGGCATTTGCCTTGCACATGGATGACCCGGGTTTGATTCCCAGCAACCCATATGGCCCCCAAAGCATCACCAGGAGTGATTCCTGAGTGCTGAGCCAGGAGTAACCCCCTGAGCATTGCTGGGTGTGATCCAAAAAGCAAAAAAACAAACAAACAAACAAACAAACAAAAAACAAACCTAACCCTAACTGTAACCAGAATATAAATCAAATCCTTCTACTAACCTTTATCCAAGTCGAGGCCTAAATTCACCAGTTTGCCTCATTTCAACAATGGCCCTGAACCAAGCTTTCACCTTCAACTAGAAGTATAGTAAGACCTATACCCTAACTCTGATACAACTCCTTAATTAAACCCAAACCCTTCCCCTAACTCCAACCATAATCTGATATTATTAACCTTACCCTAGTCTAAGCCTAAACTTTCCAATTAGCCTGAACTGAACAATCACAGTAAACTGAACTTTCACTTTCAACTTTAATAAACTGAACTTTCACTTTCAACTTTAAATATCACTAAATCTATAATGTCACTCTGAGTAGTATCACATCAATAGGACCCCACCCGCCCCCACCACCACCACTAAACTCTTGCTCTCCTTGGCCAAGAATCACCAGGAGGAATTCTTGGGTCTCCCAAGTGCTGGAAACACAGTCTTCCCATTGTTCATCGATTTGCTCGAGCAGGCCCAGTAACATCTCCATTGTGAGACTTGTTGTTACTGTGTTTGGCGTATCGAATACGTCACAGGTAGCTTGCCAGGCTCTCCGAGATGGGCAGAGGAATTGAACCCAGCTTCGCCAGCTGGCTGCGCACAAGGCAAACGCCCTACCGCTGTTCTATCACTCCAGCCCAACCACTGGAAATACATATAAAAATTTAACTGAGTGGACAAAGAGAGAGTACATGTGGTAAGGTGCTCACATGTAATGGACTCAGTGTCTCGCCCCATACAGTCCCCAGATCAGCACCAAGATGATCCCTGAGCTCAGGGTTAGGAGTGAGCCCTAAGCACTGCTAGGTTAGGCCCAGGAACAAACAGATCAAACCAAAGTTAAATCAAAGTTAAACCTAGTTTGCTATATGAACTTGACTGCCATTAAAGATACATGGAAAAATATATAGATTTACCTGCATGCTCCATTTTCCATCATTCTTATTTCCTTTTCGATATCTGGTACAACCACATTAGGGATGTTTATAAAAGAGTATTGCGTGTTGATAAGGTTTTTCTTCATCATTAGGTTGAAATCTTGCAAAAAAGAAGTCTTATTAGTAATATGAACTTATAATTTCTTTAACGAAAACTAAAATTTAAAAAAATTTTAATGAATCACTGTGAGATAGTTCCAAAGATTTTGTAACCGCGTTTCAGCCATGCAGTCTTCCAACACCCATCCTACTACCAGTGTACATTTCCCACCACCAATATTCCCCATATACGTTCTCTCACACCCCCTCCAGCTTCTCTTCTCTCTCTCTCTCTCCTCCACCTCCTCCTCCTCTTCCTCCTCCTCCTCCTCCTCCTCCTTCTCTCTCTCTCTCTCCCCTCCTCCTCTTCCTCCTCCTCCTCCTCCTTCTCTCTCTCTCCTCCACCTCCTCCTCCTCCTCTTCCTCCTTCTCCTCCTCCTCCTTCTTCTCTCTCTCTCTCTCTCCTCTCCGCCTCCTCCTCTTCTTCCTCCTCCTCCTCCTCCTTCTCTCTCTCTCTCTCTCTCTCTCCCCTCCGTCTCCTCCTCCTCTTCCTCCTCCTCTTCCTCCTTCTCCTCCTCTCCTCCTCCTTCTTCTTCTTCTTCTTCTTCTTCTTCTTCTTCTTCTTCTTCTTCTTCTTCTTCTTCTTCTTCTTCTTCTTCTTCTTCTTTCTCTCTCTCTCTCTCTCTCTCTCTCTCTCTCTCTCTCTCTCTCCTCTTTTTCTCTCCCCTTTTGGGCATTATGTTTTGCACTACCGATACTGAGAGGCCATCATGTTAGGTCCTTCACTGACTTTCAGTATACATCTCCCATCCAGAGCGATTCCTTCCAACCATCACTGTCATAAGGGCCCTTCCTCTATCCCAAATGCCCTCTACCCTTGCCATTGAGGGAGACTTCCTTATAAATGTACATATCTAATCTACCATTTTTCTAAGGCTATGATAACAACTTTTTTGTTGTGATGAGGACTCCCAAATAACTTTCAGATATGCCATACAATATTCCGACATATACCACATTACATTATAATAACAAATGTTAAATCTGTTTATTACATACCAGACATTTTTTATATTTGAAGTTTGTAACTTTTTACCTGCCTGCCTCTTCCCCCTGGCAACACAAACAAGTTTTCTGTATCTACAAGCTTGTTTATAGATAAAAGTTGTCATTTACCTGCATGCTTTAATATTCCATGAAAGAGAAAATAACAAAATGCCTTTCTCAGACTTATTTCACTTAGCTTAATGCCTGAAAGTTTCACCCACATTATTGAAAAAGATGAACTTCTCTTATTTTTATGGACTAGTAGTATTTCTGTGTGTGTGTATATGTGTGTGTGTATATATATATATCTATACATATATATATAAAGCATATATATAAAGCATCTTATTTATCCAAAGGTGAATACCTAGCTTGTTCCCATATATTTTTCTATTTCAAAGAATGTTGCAATGAACACGGGATGCATATATTTTATTTTGGTATTCTTTACATAAATTTCTGAACCACTGCCACGCCCCAGGCCGCTTTCAGGGTGCTGGGGCTGAGCCTCACACATGAGTGAAGCTCCACAGAACCAGGTAATAAATTTCTATCAAAAGAATAATATTGTTTCTAGGATCCTCCCAGGATGGGAGAAGCATGCTGAAAGTAGACTATAGACCAAACATGATTGCCACTCAATGCCTCTTTTGCAAACCACAACTCCCAAAAGGAGAGAGAGAACAAAAGGGAATGCCCTGCCACAGAGGCAGGGCGGGAGGGGAGGGATACTGGGACCCGTGGTGGTGGAAAATGGGCACTGGTGGAGGGATGGGTACTTGATCATTGTATAACTGAAACCCATGCACAAAAATTTGTAAGTCTACAACTGTACCTCATGGTGTTTCACTAATAAAAATAAAAAAATAAAAAAATTGAAAATTAAAAAAAGAATAATACTGTTTCCAGTTGTATGTAGGAATTATTTAGTTTTAATATTTTGTTATTTGCTTTTGTTCATACTGAGAAACTACTCTTGACTCTGTTCTCAGATGTCACTACTTAGGGTGCTCAGGGGATCATACATGGTTGACTAAGCATCCTACCCAGTGTACTATCTCTATGGACCCACAAAAAATTGTCTTGCCATCTCACAAACTTGAAGCCAATATTTTCCATCAATCATATGACAAAGGGCTAATATCCAAGGTATATAAAGCACTTGTAAAACTTGAAAAAAATTTCAAAAACTCCATTAAAAAATTAGGGAAAGAGGCAAAAAGTATAGTCAAAGTGACATCTGCACTTATTTGTTCCTTGCAGCACTGTTTACAATAGCTAGAATCTGGAAAAAACCTGAGTGCCCAAGAACAGATGACTGGTTAAAGAAACATTCCCAGTTAATATATGGCTTGGGGCATATATTTAAAAAGTGTATAGCGCACTAGCTTTTCCCTAATGTGATTCTGTTATTTTCTTTTTTCCCCCAAAAGGAATCTTTGAAAGTTATCAGTGCTATATACACAGAGACATTTTTTATTTAATATGCTCATTAATATTGTGGTACTTATATTCTATTTTGTTCCCTTTTGCCTTTTGAAGTTCCTCTTTTAATTAAATTTGTCAAAATTCTTGTCAAAATTTTGAACAGTGCAGAAATAAAAATACTATACAATATTTTTCTTAGACACATATGCAAGAGAGGATCTTATTTATAAAGCCAAAAGTGGAATTGCAAATTCTAGTTTTAGAGTATTTCAGTCAACCAAATGATTTCCCAACACAGCTGTAACTACATTCTGTAAGTCCTATACAAGACTATCTTTGTTCCCACATCCTGAACAAGATGTTGCTATATTTTAAAGATTTTTCCTGGGGCTGGAGAGATAGCACAGCGGGTAGGGCGTTTGCCTTGCACGCAGCCGTCCCGGGTTCAATTCCCAGCATCCCATATGGTCCCCTGAGCACCGCCAGGAGTAACTCCTGAGTGCAAAGCCAGGAGTAACCCCTTGCATCGCCAAGTGTGACCCCCCCAAAAAACAGATTTTTCCCACTTGACGAGTGAAAATGTATTTTCACTGTGCCTTTTTATTTACATCAGCAGTAAAGTTGGGTTAATTGTCATGAGTTGATTAGTAAGTTGATTTTTTCTTTGTAAATTATGGATATTGGCCAAATTTTTCAGTTAGGTCATTTCATCCTTTAACATTCAACATGTATTTAATAATTAACACATATCAGGTATCAGGCATTTTTATTCTCCAAGTGAAATGTACCCTGCTCCTCTGACTTCTGCTCCTCTGATTACTCCTTTACTTTTTTGAAATAAAAATAAATTTCTGTCACTTACTAAAGGCATTTGTATTGTTTATTGACCTGTAAACTCCCTGATATGTTAGAAATATTGATTTGCCAGTTTGGGCTTACAAAGAAAGCTAACTTCTGTATTCTCATTTCATAGTTGTAATGATAATAAAATGAATTGAGAAACCCCATTTATGGCAAAGTACAAAAACTTTAAATCTTATCTTTAAGCAAGGAGAGCTATATTATAAAACTTAGAGAACCACCTAAGTATTATTTGAAAATTTGAAAAGATTATGCAAAGTATACTCCAATCAGTTGAACTATACCTCTCCGGCTTTCTACAGTAGAATGTGATGTGGTTGATCTTAAGCACTGTTGTCAATAATTTTTGTTACTTATACACTATTCCTTTTATTGAAATTAATAGGAAAAATATATACCTTTCTAAGATAAAATTATATTCTCCATAAGTTCAAAACTTTTGTAAAGAAGTCACTCTGATTTGTCAATGTAGATAAGACTTTCAGGCCTCATAAAAGAATACAAAAATATACACTAAACTTAAAACAAGTTTCCTGTGGAGAGTATAAATATACAAATAAGTATTGCTTATATATATTTGTATAAAATTTATGACAAAAGGTGAAAATTTATGACAAGAGGTGGGAGCAGAGAGATAGTACAGGGGATAAGCGCTTGCTTTGCATGTGGCCGACCCTGTTTAATCCCTGGCATCCCATATGGTCCCCTGAGCACCACCAGGGGTCATTCCTGAGTGCAGAGTCAGAAATAACTCCTGAGTATCACTAGATATGAACCCAAACCCCAAAAAATTAAAATTTATGACAAAAAGGATAGAATTGATTTTTTTCATAAATCATTATTCACCAACTTATAGTAATGTTCAAACTATAGTGTTAAACAAAATAACATTTAAATCAACAGTTAGGGATGAAGGTATAGTTCAACTGACTGGAGTATATGCTTTGCATGTAGGTTCAATCCCCATAACACTTTATTCCCCTTAGCACCACCAGGAGCAATCCCTGAATACTGAGAAGTTAGTAATCTCTGAATACTGCTGGTATAGCCTCAAAATAAAAAATAATCACTCTAATGTATCATATTTTTAACAACATGTTTATTATAGTAATATATGTGGGTAGAAAGGAAAATACTTTGACAGAGATACTTCTAGACCCTGCCCCAGGCTGAGTCTCATAAGGGGTACCCTGGAGGGGGTGGGTGAGCCAACCATCCTCCCAAACAGAGACCCAGCAGCCGAAAACTACACTCTACAATTGCTGCCATACTCAAGGCCAGACTCCACCATTTATGACAAGCATCATCCAGAAATTGATCTATTGAAAATTCAGGCATGCGGGTTCTGTGACTGAAATCTTCAGTTTCTGGTGTCAGGGATGGACTACCTACCCCCATCTCCCTATTCTTCCAGGAGCCTGGCTATCAGGTTCATGAACTGCCTCTGGAGCCAAAAAAAGTTCATTAACTGGTCATAATCCAGAGACTCATAAATAAATCTCAAAAGAGAGCAACAAACTGCAAAGATGCCTCTGGACCCCAAAGTCACCATGCAGTTAAAAATTTAACTCCAGCTGCATCAACCCATTCAAAATTTTAGAATTCCTGGAGTGACATCTCAAACTCCACACCACTGATATACTAGGAGTAGTACACTACATTGGACGGCAACCAATCTCTATTAAGAAAATATTAACATACAAGGATTAAC